AAGAGAGCTGGATGGCTCCACTAAAGCTGCTGAAGATAGCTGATTAGCTGCTGGACACTGTAAATGTATAAACACGTGGTCAATCGCCATAGCAACTATCTAATCTGTTTCCATGGAAATTCTAATTAGCATTCGCGAAAATTAGTCGTCCTACGGTATGAACCACTACACCAAACTCAGCTCAGGAGCTGAGTAGAGGTCAAACCATAGATACTGTGGTCAAACCATAGATACTATATACCCCTGGATATGAACACGGTCCGACCGGATGTTCTGAGGCTTGTTTCACCGGAATACGTCATATTACGTTTTCATTCAGAATAAAAATAAAACAATGATAAAAGTTTCAGCAATTATAATGCATGATAAATGTCAAGTTTTATTGTATTATTGTACATAAAATCACACTTTTATTAGCAATAATAATAATACTTTTTATCCTTTTCTTTTAGTATATGCAGTCTACCAATGCATGACTTTCCCATCTCTTGTCACCTAAAAATGATGAATTTGACTACACAATTGCACCAAAACTAAAAATACACTCCTTTTGAGAATAGGCCCACTACAACTACCTATTCTCAAGCTACAAAACCATATAGAAAAAGTTCCAATTAAGTCAAGTATTACAAAGAAAAATTGGCTAGAAAGGTGGGGCTTGAAAAACCAAGATTTAGGAAATAACAGCTCTTTTACTTAACACAAACTCTAAATAATAGCCCCACTACAACTAGTAAACAATAACCTATCAGTACAATAAAAAATGTTGGCCTAATTCAACAGAGTTAAGCTAAAAAAGTGGCTTGAGTGAAATGTACACAACAAGTAGGCTATGACATCCATTGTAGAACTATAATATGCACTCAAACTATCGTTTATGAGCATTACTTCAATATATAAAGGCTTTGCAAAGTCCTCTGAGGGATCATTCAGCTACTTTAACAAACGAATAGGCTACTGTGATTGTTTTACTTACACTAGCCATTAATTGCAGTACGTTAGCCATTAGTAAAAGTCCGCATATCTTTGTAGTTTAGGGTGTGGCCACTTTTAACCACACCCTCTCACGTTTTAGCACGTGGATTATGGCTGCTAGTAAATCAAGATAATTTTTCTTTACAATGATCATGTTTATCAAGACAAGTCATACAAGTGAAGACATTTATCCACAACCTTATATATAATACTTTTTTAAAGTGTAATTATTGACTCTGTGCTTTACTATAGTTATAATTTTACACAATAGTTATTACTATCTAGGCTAAAATACAGTGCAAGCAAAAAATTAATGTTACAACTGATAATTAATACAGTGCAAGCAAAATAATTAATGTTATAACTCATAATTGATGTGAGTGAGAGAGACAGAGCTATAAAGACAGTACTGGTAACAAAAATGGAGGTTTAATGTTAGACTCTGATCTTCATACAATGCACACACACATTGTCATATG